CCGCACCTGACGTATCCCGTGCGGGTCCGGTCTGTGGGTGGGATCCGATCCCTCGGCGGGAGCGCTGCCGCGCTTCCCAAGCGGTGCACTGTAGCAGTGCGCCACCGGGCCGGCCCTAATGTTTTTAAGATTCTATGAGAGGTGCTAAAATGACCGAGGGCAAGGTGATGGGGGCTTCATAATGGAGGGATCAGGCTGGTGACAACAGAACTCACTGATCATTCTTAGTATCACCCCAAAGGGGAAAAACCCGACTGTAGGTGCTCCTGATAAGATGCAGTGAAAGGGCACGGCACCGCCCAGGAACGCTGATTGCCAAAATAATTGGCCTCCATCATATCAACTCTCCGACCTAAATACCAGTTTACAGGAAATAAGACAGTGCAACACGTAAAATGACACCATGAGGCGTCAATCTACCAAATCCACAGTGACGAGCACTCTACAGGACAAAGGACTGGTTTCTTCAACAAGTAAAATGACTTAAAAAAGGAAAGGGGAAAGGACTGTTAGAGTTTAAAAGAGATGTAAGAGACATAGCACCAAATGCAATGTAAGGACCTTATTTAGATCTTGAGTCAAAAAAATGGGCGCAGAAAAGACATTTTTGAGGCCGGTGAGGACATTTGAACATGGAGGGTATATTAGATGACATTAAGGAATTGCTGATTTTATTAGGTGTGATGATGATGTTGAGGTTATTTTTAGATGGGCGAAATGATATGATGTCTGGAATTTTCATTAAAAAGGTGTTGAGGAGAGGAATGAAGCAAGAATAGCAACACGGGGGTGGTGCTGAAGTGGGCGATGGGCGCGCAGAAGCTCGTCACGTTCTTTTCTCTACTTTTGTGTGTGTTTGAAAGTTCCCATAAAAAGTGAAATTAAATAAATAAAAGAGAGTCTGTGGATGTTGCATTTTTCTGGCTATAGCCCTCCCCTTTCCTTTCCCCTCCCTGCCCCCTCCTCCTTGCCCCACATTCAGGCCGGGAGAACATCTGTTTTCATCGGGCACAGCTGTCCTGGCTCCACTTCCTGTTCTCCCCAAACACCCAGAGAGAGGAGAGGCAGACCTTGACTGAACGTTGGCCTTGGCCTGATTTGCATTTGGCCCGTTGCCTGGTTTCTCTGAGGCCCACCCTGATGTTCTGAG